TTATCACTTTAATATCTTATTAATATCTTTTTAATATTATCATTTTAATATCTTATTAATATCTGTTTAATATTATCTTTTAACTATCTTATTAATATCTTTTAAATATCTTATTAATATATTTTTAACATTATATTTTTAATATTATTTTAGTTTAATCTTTAAAAGTTATCATACAAATATCTTCAGAATATCTGTTAATAGAGTTTTAAGAAGATATTTTAGACTTAAATGTGATTAAATATATTTATATATATTTAATATGCTCAGGCCTTACGAGAAAGTCGGGTGAAGGTGAAGGGTATTGATGTTGTTGCAAGCTATAAAGTCATGGTGCTGTTAGTCTTAGTGCCTCTCTTTAATCTTCTTTACGGCTTTATCTTTTGGGTTTTGTTTCTTCAGTAAGTCTTTTGTTCTATATCAATTGCACTAGAGTACTGTCTCCTTTTTGTCTCTGTTGTCTGTCTGTCTCCTTTGTCTATTACTGTCTCCTTCTTGTCTCTGTTGTCTGTCTGTCTCCTTTGTCTATTGCTGTCTCCTTTTTGTTTTTGTTGTTTTGTCTGTCTCCTTTGTCTATTACTGTCTCCTTTTTGTCTCTGTTGTCTGTCTGTCTCCTTTCTCTATTACTGTCTCCTTTTTGTTTTTGTTGTTTTGTCTGTCTCCTTTGTCTATTACTGACTCCTTTTTGTTTTTGTTGTTTTGTCTGTTGTTTTGTCTATTACTGTCTCCTTTTTGTTTTTGTTGTTTATCTGTCTCTTTTCTTTGTTGCTGTCTCCTTCGTTTATTGCTGTCTCCTTTCTTTGTTGCTGTCTCCTTTTGTTTTTGTTTGTTTCTGTCTCTTCTTCTGTCTCTGTCTCTCTCTTCTCTCTATCTTTGTTTATCTCTCTTTCTGTCTCTTCTTCTGTCTCTCTGTCTCTCTGTCTTTTCTACTGTCTCTTCATCTGTCTCTTTTGTTGCTTGTCTTCTGTCTGTTTGTCTCTCTTTCTGTCTCTCTTTTTGCTGTTTGTTGCTCGCTGCACTTCTGCTTCTCCTCTGAACCCATCCAGCAGCAGCGGCAGCTGCTGCTTCTGCTGCTGCTGCTGCACGAGCAATAGCAGCAGCAGTTGGATTCCTATACCTGTGCGTATTTTGCTGCTGCTGCTGCTGTTGCCGCTGCTGCTGCTGCTGCTCAGGACATGGTTTGAGTTGGTCGTATCGATGTTATCAGGCGTCATAGGCCTCCCCATCCTCTACTACTGTGCGCCCTTGCTGCTGCTGCTGCTGCTGATTCTGCTGCTGCTGCACATGCTGTTGCTGCTGCGGATTCTCTTGCTACTGCTGAGTCTGTTGCTGCTGCTGCTGCTTATGTTGCGCTTGCTGATTCAGTTGCTGCTGCTGCTTCTGGTTCTGCTGCTGCTTTTGTTGCTGCTGCTGCTTTTGTTGCTGCTGCTGCTTTTGTTGCTGCTGCTTTTGTTGCTGCTGCTGTTGCCACTGCTCCGTTCCTGCTGCTACGGGGCTTCCTGCTGCTGTTGATTGTGCTTTTCTTCCTGCTGTTGCTGCTGCTGCTGCTGTTGCTGCTGCTGCTGCTGCTAACTACTGATATTTACATATCTCGCTTGTGATGTGTGCGACTGTCTCCTCTGCTTGCTCGCTGCTGCTGCTCCTATTGCTGCTGCTCCTATTGCTGCTATTGCTGCTGCTCCTCCTCCTATTGCTGCTTCTTCTATTGCTGCTATTGCTGCTGCTGTTGCTGCTGCTGCTGCTGCTGCAGTTAGCATGCGGAAGGCTGAGCGTTTGCTGCCCTTGATACAGCAGCTGCGGATTGTAGCGATGGTGATGGTCGGCAGTATAAACATTTGGAGACAGACAGATAAAGAGTTAATAACTCAGCGAATCCTTATGCAAATAAAGGTTAGTAGATAAATAAATAAATAAATAAATAAATAAATAAATAAATAATTTATAGTTAAAGACAGAGACTATAGAAAGGGCTTTATATTAATATAATGCTGTACGTGCTGCTTCTTCTGCTGCTGCAGCTGCTTCTGTTGCAGTTAGCATAGTGCTTCTGCTGCCGTTTCTGCTGCAGTTCCTTTAGTGCTGCTGCTGCTGCTGCTGCTGTTCCTGCTGCTACTGGTACAACATCTGCTGCTGCTGCTGCTGCTGCTGCTGTTGGGGTGTATGTGCAGGTGCGAGATGTGGTGCATCAGTTAGGGCCGTCTGTCTCCTTAACCTTCGCTCAGGATATCCAAAGGGCTTTGCCGACGGTAGGCTTTGCTGCTGCTGCTGCTGTTGCTGCTGCTGTTGCTGCTGCTGTTGCTGCTGCTGCTGTTGCTGTTGCTGCTGCTGGTAGTGCTGGTGGTGGTGTTGGTGTTGCTGCTGCTGGTGCTGCGCTGCTGCTGTTGCTACTGCTGTTGTTGCTGCTGCTGCTGTTACTGCTGCTGTTGCTGCTTGTCCCTATGTTGAGTGGTTGAGGCGTCTGCATGCTGCGGTGTATGCTGAGGTGTAACCTCAGCATATATACACCTCGGCTTGCTGCGGTATATGTTGAGGTATATATATATATATATATATATATATTATGAGGTGTATTTAATATATGTTGATATATATAT